CAAGGATATTTTATGTTGCTTGTGTTTAATTATACTTTTATAAAATGCATTGCAACTTTATACTCTCAAAAATTCAAAAATAGTATAAAATTTAGAGTTTTAAATTGCTGAAATTATAGAATTTGTATAGGAATTATTAAAAGTGACCATCTTGCTAATGCTCTCCACAACTGTGAGGAAAAAAAAAGCCTAAGTGTCTATTGAGTAATTAATAAAAAACTGCAGCACATACAGTCAGTGAGGTGCTATTCAGCCGTATAAAATGAATACAACCTTTGTGTGTGAGGTATGGATAGAATTGGAGACCAAGCATAGATATCAAAGCACCTAATGGTCTCACTGTTATGTGGAATCTAACACACTTGATGTCACAGGTGCTGGAAGCTTGGAAGTTGAACAGTAGTTACCAGAGCCTGGAGCCAGTAGGGGAAGGTGACAGGTGGAAAAGTATGACACAGGAACAAAAATATTCTTCTGTGCTGCTACACAATAAAGGGTTTATGGACATCACCACTATACTGTATGTTTCAAAAACCTAGAAAAATTAGAAGAAAGGATTTTGAAAGATCTTTTACCAGAAAGATATGATTGATGAGATAGTTACCTTTCACCTGTTTTAAAAATTATGCAAGGTGTACCTGTATGAAATACCACAATTATCTCATTAGTTTATATATTTTGTGGTTTTCTGTAACCATTCAAAACAAATTTGATTTTAAAGTTAAAAACATAAAGGAGAAATGAGACTGATATTGTTCTTTAATTATTGTTTACCATGTTATTTACAATTAATTTTAATATCTGGCAATAAATTATAACATGATGCAATTTTTCCAAAATTGTGAAGGGTCGCATAGGAAGAAAGGACTGCAGGTTGGAGGAGCACTGGAAAGGGTGGACCTTCACAGTGACTCTAGTGTTGTAAGGGCTTTTACAACACACCATGATAAAGACTTTTATTTGGGATACTTAATTTCTACATTATTTTAAGCAAGAAATACTTTCTAGGAATAATACTGGATTTTATACTAAAATACTTTCAAAAAGGGAAATATGGAGAACAACTACTTGAGGGAAATTATTGGTATGGGATTTCCTAGCCAAAATTAGCTAAAAATTAGATTTCTAAAAAAAATCAAATTAACATTTCCGATAGATCTTTGGTAGTATCAATATAGTGCTTATTTTACCAATTATACCTACAATTAAAAACTTAGAAATTTAGCAACTTTACATGTGCTTTAAATTTGCAGGTCTAGATTAATGACATATTGATGCATAGGATGGGAACAGAAATAAGACTATAGGACTTAAGACCTAGCCCTGGGGGGCTTTCAAAATTAAAAGTTGTACACACAAAAAAGCTGTCAAATCTTTGGAAGTTATACTTAAAAAGAGAGTCAATTAGGCATATTAGCGAATATTACAGTATGAATAGGAAGTTCTCTTAAATATAAAGTAGATTAATTACTTAATGAATACTGAATAACCCTGATGAAATAAACTCATCACATTAGGGAAAATGGACAGATTGACATATGAAGTTATTTCTTTCATACCACTGGATATTTTATGTTTACTTCTTATCTAGGCATTTTCCTTCTGAATTTAAATTATGGAAAGGGAAATGAGAAAGATACAAGAAGAGTGTTTACCTTCTGAAATTTCCAAATCACTTCCTGAGGTGTCTACTGATTCTGCTTATAAAGAAACAGCAATTTTGTTGAAAATAAGACAAATGTGATAAATGACTGCTATCCTTTATTTTGTTGATACATGAAGCTTACAAGAACTTCATACCATGAGAAAAATAGTTACTGATTAGAAAAAATATAATAAGGCGAATTTGAGGGAAAATATTACCTGTATACAAAATATTTCAAACCTTCCCATTGAGCTTAGGAACTGAGGCAGCTGTTTACAATGCAGCATTTTAACATCTGGACATCTGATCTATGCAGAGAATCACCTTACACACTTAATATTTGGCGGGAGACATATTTCGACAAGATAGATACTGTGCCATGCAAGCAGCATACACTGCATTATCTCATAGGTGGAGAGGTAATAAAGTCAGGCTAAGAAGTGTTGGTCGTGATAAATGGGCTGGGAAAAGATGCTAAAGTTTTTTTCTTCCAACTGAGAATGCAATGGTTTATACAATATGATTTATACAGTTTCTTGTTCTGTGTGAATCACATTTATCAAGCCAGGTATATTCCTACAGCAAAATAGCCGAGAAAAAGTAACTTTATGAAGAACAAAGATTTATTTAGCTGAGAGTTTTGCAGACTCAGAGTCCAAATAGGTAGACATGGGATCTGGCAAAGACTGACCCCCTTAGCTGTGTCACTTTAAGGCAAACAACACTAATGAAATGACTTCTGGGAGGAAGATAGCGTAGTACCAAGCAGCAAGCCAGCGAAACTGAGATTCCAGAATCTTTTCCCAAAGTATATTAACAAATGACCTAAAGATTTTCCACTAGCCCTCCTTCGTTAGTTCATTATACATTCATTGTCAGTGCCAATGACCTAACCCAGGGTCTTGCATACAGGAGGTAAGCACTGTACCACTGAGCTACATCTCTGGGCCTGCAGCCCACCTATGAAAGGTCCCATACCATTCCCTAATAACACCACCCTGGTTACCGAGCTTCCTACATATGAACTTTTGAGGGACAGAGAATATCAGAAGCATAGAACAAGGTTAGTACGCCTGTGTTGGGTACTTTATATTCCTTCTAACTGAGCTATTAAGAATGTTTATGCTAATTGTGCATACCTCATGACCCTTCCTCCCTTACGACTGTGCCTCAAAGTGCCGATTTTTCTAACATTACAATGAAGACGACCTGTGAAATTTCTCTACCTAATCAGAAGAGTTACAGTCCTCACCACCTTGTCTCATGTCAGAAAATGACATTATTGCCTCACATATTTCTTTCCTTTATGACTCCTTCAATAGTATTTCTATTTAAAGTGTCTTTAGAAGGAAATGATAGCATATATAACACTCAGTTTGGACTGAAACCCCTTTTATACTTTAAAATTGTGGCAAGTACCACAAATACAGCCTAGGAGTTTACAAAATTTTATTTCATTTATATCGTGTCAGATGCAAAATGCACTTTACCCAAATGCTTCTGTTTACAAGTAATCTTTATGGAAATGTTTTTAGCAGTTAGTGAACAAGAATCATTTATAAACTGGTTCACTTATTTATCTTAGAAATATTGAATTTATCAAGATATTGTTGCTTTGGTTCTGGAAGGCCTCCTGATGACAATTTGTTTGGTGACTCTGACAAAAAGTGCCCATGATATTATCTCCCAGAACATTTATTCATTCTTTCAGTAGATATTTACTGTGCATCTACTGTGTGACAGGTACTGTTCAACTCAGCACTACTAAACTTACATATCGATGAAGTTAAAATTCCATTAAAAACTGTATAGTGCTAAAGTTTTAAGGAAATTAGTGTTCTCATAATTTGTTTTTTTGTCATTTTATTAGTGCATTGGCAATACACAATGATCACATTCAATGTGGGGGCTGTACCACATGTATGTAACACAACTTAATTCTTTTTATAGCCCTCCCTCATCTTCCTCTTCTTCCCTCCTCCTTCTCTCTTGTTCCTTTTCTTTTACAAAACAGCATATTTTTTGAGTATTTAATTTTTTTCATTTTTCATTTTATTTTAAAGAGAGTAGTAAAAATTAAAAGAACAATAGCTAAATCTTGGAAGCAACCTAAATGTCCATCAACTAAGAAATGAATAAAAAGTGCTGGGGATTTAGCTCAGTGGCAAAGCGCCTGCCTGGCAAGTGCAAGGTCGTGAGTTCGGTTCCTGGTACCAGAGAAAAACCAAAAAGAAAAAAAAAAGAATAAAAAAGATGTGGTATTTTTATACAATGGAGTATTACTCAGCTATATGTAAAAAAAGATAAACTCGAGGCTTTTATAGGTAAATGGATGCAGCTAGAGACCATACCACACACATAAGTGAAATAAATTGGACCCACATGTGGAAGCATCGTGTTGTCTCCCTGGTGTAGGAACCTGAAAGAGTAAGTAAAACTCAAAATATACAATAGATAATATAAAAGGGGAAGAAATTGCTCAAAGGATGAAACAACTGGAATGAGGGAAAGAAGAAAAAGAAAGAAGGCAAAAAAAAAATACACGCATATATGGATAGCTAGGGTAACTGTACCGCTGATGTCTGATGGTATATTGAAAGGAACAGGCAATGCTTAAATTTTTTTTTATATTTTGACCAATTTTGTATGTTTTCATCTGGTCATCTGAGCAATTGATTTGAAGACAACAATATGCAATGGAACAAGCATTGGTAAATTCCTGCCATCTTGTCTAATGAAACTCTGTATTATCGCTAATGTTTATTTAATAATTTTTTTATTCTCTGTAATAGTTTGAGCAACCGTCCAGTTTTATATATGGTAATTTGAGCCATGTAGCTGAAGATAACAATACATAATAAAACAACCACTGTTAATTCCTATTTTTTTATTTTAAAACAATGCATTTTGATTGCATAAATGCAAACAAATTGTTTGAAGATTTTTTTTAGTTTTAATAAGATGAGCTATTCCTTGACTCTCCTCTTTTGTGATATCACCTATTTTCCATCATTTATCTAGGGGTTGGGGATTTAGCTCAGCGGCAGAGCGCCTGCCTGGTAAGCGCAAGGTTGTGAGTTCAGTTCCCAGTACTGGAGAAAAACCAAAACCCCCCCCCCCCCGCTCAAAGAAACAACATTTATCTAAATTTGATTGCAATCATACCCAAGATCTCTTTTCTTCTCTCTTAATAAATTATAGTTATAAGACTGAAATTTTCTTTGAAGAAAGTCAAATAGATGTATGAGAATTACAAGATAAAAATGAAATTGAAAAGAGCAAATTTGTAAAAGAAACTTTCCAAAATTCTTTTCCAGCCCCGTGAATCATAGATTTCACTGTTTTCCATTAGCAGGAATTAAATCTACTCCTAAGATGTTTGAGAGAATCTGACAGAAGCTTAAATGAAAATATCGTTTCATCCACAGCGGACACCAGGTATAATGCTGAATTTCATTGTGAGTTTAGCTTTCAAATGAAAAGACATTTTCAATTCAGTTATTAATTTTACATTGTGATATGCTTTCTCTTTAACAAATTAAATCCCCTAAAAGCATTATATAGAAAAATTCCATGAATATTAGTATTCTCACATAAGTGACAAGTTTAAATTTTCTATTACCCTAATAATATAGCTCTTCCAGAAAAAGTAAATATAAAATATTATCTAAAGACAATTGAAGAGTTTTACTCATTCATGTAGATTTTCCTACTTCCCAAAAGAATTATGGAACTTTATAGGTAACAATAATATTATAAAACAAATGTAATATATGTAAGAAGAGAAAAATTGGAAGGAAAGCCAATGCAAAAGTAAGATTAAATAATGTTCCTTAAATTATTTACAGTGTTTTACTTTATTTATTGATTAAAATACGTAAAATACATTGCAAAATTCATTGTCTATAAAAGTTAAACCCCAAATTTGTCTCAAAATGCATATATTTTCCCAGTTTATTCACATACATGCACATAGACAAATATACATCATCCTGTCTTCAGTGGTTATGAAAATTTTGATGAATTTTAATTTTTGAAATTATTGAATGATTTGTGGAAAGCCTTTGGTTACATTTTCATGACAGAATTTTTATTAAATGTTAACATTTTCCCAGACTTCCATTTGATTAAATAGTACTGAGAAACCTGTTTATTAGTTTTGTCATTGGAAACTCCACTTTATGAAGGTAAGTGCTACCTTGAAAGAAGAGAAAAATATACTCTCAAAAAGGGTGAACATCACTCCTTTACTTCTTATACTTGGAAGGGCATTGTAGCTGTAGGTCATAGTCATGAAATTTTTCTGATACCATAACAAAGCTAATGTTGTAGCAAGAAACATTTTGACATTTGATAAGTTTAAGTTTCAAACTTAGGACTCAGGGGCTGCGGATTTAGCTCAGAGGCACAGCGCCTGCCTGGCAAGCGCAAGATCGTGAATTCGATTCCCAGTACTGGAAAAACAAACAAACAAACAAACAAAAAACCACTAAACTTAGCACTCAATACACACACAAACTTACTTCTTCCAGACTCAGATTTTCTGGCTCAAACATGAGTACTAAAAATTAACTTACAATTTAATTTCTCTTTTACCAGTATACCATAAGGTTGTGTTTCTAGTAAAAGTAAAAAAGTAAATATTCTATTATTTGAGTAAAATATCACAATAATAGAGCTCTATCATACTGTTTTAATACAGCTGAAATAAAAATAATTATAAAAGAATTACCAACATTTATCTAATATTTTATAAAGGCAAATATTGACAAGACCATGCAATAAGAGGAGATTTCCTTTGACTAAAAACAGAAAACTTTACAGGAAAGAATTGTTGGAGTGTTCACAGACTGTGTTGATAAGGAATGAAATGTCAGCTATATTGTGAAAATCTGAAGAGGATTTGCAAATAAGATATTTTTTTTGAAAAGTTGTATAAAATGATATATATGTATCAATTTTAACAATGATACAGTCTTTTATTACTTTTTTACTTCTTTTATAGTCCTTAACTTCTCTGAAATTCATTCTTGTATTGATTAAATCAACATATATACTTCTGGTTTTGAAAGCTTCTGATAAAATATCAACCAAAGGTAAATAGCATTCAGGAATTTCTTACTACTACTATTATTGTTTTTTCATTTTCTTTTGCAAATCAATTATATTTTTACTAGTCAGCTAACTCCTGCCCACATATGTTCTAACTGAGAATCTCACATTAGAGCATTCAGTGCTAGTCTTCCGATAAAAGCAGAAATACTGAGGTCCTTTGTACAGTGGATATTTGTTGCACTCGCCAGAGCACTTGTGGTATTGGGTGACAGGACCTAGGAAATGAGTGTTTGCTCTGAGCAGGTGTCAGAGATAACTTCTCTTCTTGTCATCCACAGGTTATTACTGCAGTCTGGCTTCAGAATAGCCCTGGCATCATCTATCTGGAAGAAGGAGGTTAACGAACAAACTCATAGAGGAGTCATAGAAATTTTTAAGCTTACAGTAGTCATGTGAAATTTTCACCTGATGTCAGATTTCCAGCACTCAGTCACATGGCCATGCAGAAGAGTTATAAAATGTAGAAAATAGTTTCTCCCTGTGCTCAAGGGAAAATGAACAGTTTGGTTAATGCATGACACTGTTATTGTGAGACAAACATCAAAATAAGGTTGGATGAAAGACTTAGAAATACAATGTTATTTTAATGTTAATATGTCAGATTAACAAAGGACACAGATATAATTTTTCTCTCACATGTACAATTATATGTGATATAGTATCACTACATTAACTTTCTTCTTGTTCTCATTTTGAAGTACAAAAATAATTTAGATTTTTAAAATTATGAAGAAAGCAGGATTAGTTACGGTCAATAATTGGAAAAGATAAAGACAATTTAATGCTAGTTTGGATCTAATTAATGCACCATGAAATACTTTATTCAGAAAGGCTTTTTAATTTTAATTTCTTTCAGAAAAGCTTCCAGATTGATATAGATGCAAAAGTGAAATATCACCTCTCAAGTGAGAATTCGAAAGGTTGATGTAAATGAGCATCGGGAACGTAAGTCAGTGAATCTTGGACCATGACATTCAAGAAGCAAGTATGTGAAACTCTGAGACTCTGAGTGTGTGTGAGAAACTGTGTGCTAAGCATTTCACTGGGCTATCAAGAGTCATCTTCAATATAATATCACTAATATAATACAAGAGTTAATTTAGTAGGATGTTTATATGCATTAGGAGTTTTACATATTAGAACATGGTTTTTGTTTGCTTCTGGAGCTCCCATATGTTCAGTAAATAGACCTCCCCTCCTCTCCCTCCACTCCCCCTCCTCTTCCTCTGTCCCCCACCTCCATCTCTCTGTCTCTATTTCTGAAAGCAGCTGGTCTTTCTTCTCTAATACTTATCTTTGTTCACACTCAAGGTTGCTGATCAACACGTTTAATCATGCATCTAACTTCATTTTCACAGCACAATTTATATGTGATTATATTGGATAGCATTGACATCAGTGAACGTACCTAAAACTGAAAATAAATTAATCTGCTCTAATTATTTAGAATGCTTGACAGATCTAGTCAAACTTCTATGTCAGCTTTCACTAAGATTAAGTGTTTAGGAATATTTCTCTTTCAAGAGCAGTTGGGGAACATCTGGATGGACAAAGTTACCATGGGATACTTGGCATAAGAGTCTCAGAATCATTACACTTCATTATATATTTTGAATCTTTAAGAGACATGCAGTTTATCCTTTTAGAACACTTTTTGCACATATACCTTCTGTACTATGGAAGTGTAAACATAGATGAGTAAAACTGGAAATAAACAAGCTTGAGTTAAGAAAAAGTAGATTAAAATTGAATGACGGGGCTTTAATTTATACCTGTATTCTTTTTGACAAATAGGAGTCACTGGGGAGAAGGAGCAAAAGACGTGCATAGGTGAGGAAATTCATATTGCTACCAGCTCACTCCTGTTCTGGGGTTTTGTTTTGGGGTGGTGAAAATGGAAGCCAACAATGTAGCGAGCAGTCTGGAATGACCAAGGGCATGTTTATTGGAAACAATAAAAGACAGTCCACGCAGCTGGAGGTGGGGGTTCATCCTAGAGGTGCATATTGTGGACATTTAAATTCAAGGGATTTTATACAGTTTTTGTTACAGGTGAACGTGACAACACAAGGAGACTGCTTGGGGCTTTTCTTGTGAGACTAAATGGTAGGTGAAGTTGAAGAATGAAATTGCAGAAAGAAAAAAAACTTAAAACACAGAAGACTTAAAAATAAAGGCCTAAGAGCCTGATAACATAAAGATTATGTAGGTGATTTAAATTATTGTGTCTGTTTCTATATGTCAATTTTATGTCCTCCTTGGGTTTGCTTATAAATAAATAAACACTTGTGATATTACCTGAAATATCTTTTGGATCACATGGCTTGACAGTATGCTAATTTAGATCCGTTCCTACATGTAAAGATATGTTTAAATTTAGTAATATATTTCCTTTCAGATTGCTTAGCCAAACAAAATATCTAAATAGGTTTTCTAAATACAATGTCTATCATTCTCTGCATACAGTAATTTAAAATATAATTTAGATTAAAAAACTGTTTACTGTTATGATTTGCTCTCATGAGTTATTTAAAATGATTGTTCAGATAACTGAGTCGGTGGTGACATACTTTGACAAACAGTAAATATTTTTGTTGTAATATTGTTATATTGACCATAATTAAAGGGTTAAATACTGCATGTATAAAGCAGTGAGGTTTTCTTAAGACATAAAGATGCTGTAGGTTAAACTTACAAAACTAGATTTAAGAACTAAGGTTCTACATTGTACCTAATTTCCTGTATTTTCCATTGTTAAGCTTTTGGTTACTATATTTGAACTGTGAAAGATAAGTCAAATGTTGGTTTACAAAAGATTTTCAATTATGTTATGATGGGTTAAACAAACAACTATTTTATCATTTTATGACATAAATTATGTGTGACTATACATGCATATATTATATGATGTGCTATATAATATATTATGTGCTATAAGTCTAGGCTTTAAAGTTCATTTTGTAAAGCTAAAACTGTAAGCTTGATACCTACAGAGTAATTAATGGGTATTCTCTTTTATAAAATATACAGTACATCTAATATAAGTTTGGTCCTGCCTTGTAACACTGGATCTATATCCATTGGCTTCAATTAAACAAATATTTTGTGACTATATACAGAAGAAATGCTTACATACTGAGTGGTCTGTCCAGCAGTAATGTTTCCTAAATTTATACAATCTCTACAGATGTTCCTAAATTCCTGACCATGCAGTTACACTCTATAAAAATGTTAAGCAAATCTAAACTCTGCCTTAAATATAAGACATATAGTTGTAACACTAATTATTGCTATATTAGTAAATTCTAACTAAAACTGTGTTGGTAATAATTTTATGATTGTTTTATAGTTATTGTAACAGTTTGTAGTATAGTTAGTAATATCTCCACACTTTTAGCACCCTCTATGAGTTCGTTATGTAGATCATAGGTCCTGAAGTTTGAAAATCTTTAGGGTAAATTTTGGGTAAAAGTGCAGCTATTGCATACAACTTTTTTCTGCCTTCCTAATCTGTTAATACAGAATAAAATAGCTTTGTGCTAGAAATAAAAATGCTTGTTCTGGATATAAACAGAAAATCTGTACATAGCTGACAAACATGCTTAGGCTAATGAGAACATTGATAGGCTGTGGCTTTGGGTTGGGTTGTACATAGAGTACAACGTAAGGTAGGTGGCTCACGCTGCTTCTAAAGAGAGCAGGGTAAGAAGTTAGGCGTGGACAGTGCTATGCCCCGAGCACTAGGCTAGTGAGGAAGGGAGGGAGAATTGCAGGAAAGGGGAGAGGTGGAGATTCAAGGCAGGAGCTGAACTGCTCACTGGACGCCCACCAGGGCAGTGTCAGTGTCAGTGTTTGTTGTCCTGGCATTCGTGCTTGGAAGAACCAGAAATAAATTGCCTTAATTTTCTTGCCCTTCCTGACTGTACAAGTCCATTCTTTGGATCTGGACATTTCTCACAATAAGGCAGCCAGGAAATTTTTGTACATACACAGAAGAAATTATATGTAATCATTTGTAACAAAAAATGCAGCTTGGCTCTGTCAATGTGATTCAACTAAAACATGAAGAAATGGCCTATTGATAAATTCCTTAGGGCCTTTTAAAATGGAAGATGGCAGATAACAACTTCTGTATTGAAAAGGTAAAATCTATTTCAGAGCCTTTATTCTAAACAATATTAGTTGGTTTGAAAATTCAGACAGCATGTTCCACCCACTACTATTCAGTAGAAAACATGACTTGAAAATTAAAGAAACGAAGGCTGCCAGAATCTGTAGACTTTTTTCTCCTCAAACCATTATATCAAAACAGCCCAACTAAAATATTATGTGTTATTCTGAGTGGTTTTACACTCTCCACAGCTCTTTTGTGGTCTTAAAATTTAGCTATATACACAAAGTACCCATTAAACATAGAAAATTAGTATACGTATTTCCACTTTCTATTAAAGTTCACTTAAAGCCAAAGAACTGACAGAGATAGTAGGTGAGGAGAGATGTTGGTATGGTGTTGGAAATTGAAGTTAAAAGGAAAAAGCAGTAGCTCACCTCAAAGATTAAAGTGAAACCCAAAGTCTAAATAGCCAATACCTCATGAGTGAGTACAGATCATGCTGTCGGACTCGGCTGTAGCAGGAATTAGAGTTCAGGTACCTTAAGGGGCAGAGTGAAGTAGCACTGAAATTGTTGAATCCACATAGAAATCCAGGTAGAAGAAAAGTGAATGTTTACCCAGTGAATTGGTAATTAGCACAATTTGGTGGCCAGACTAACCTACCTCAGGAAACTTGCACGTCCCTGGATATGCAGACACTAAGCATAAAAGAAAGCTTCCAGGATCTGACAATTTAAAGGCCAAAGAAATGGGAAGGTATCTGTTCATAAAGGTCTTAAACTCTTTTATTATACATATGTTATTCATTTATTTCTGTATTATAGAGTGTTCTCTTAGATAATGTGTTCATGTTATTCTTTTAATGACAATATGCCAAATTTACTTTATATAATATTTACATGCTCCAGAAGAGAGACAGATACCTTTCACTGTATATTTCTTTTAAATTTAAAAGTATTGAAGTCATAGGATAAAATTGAGATGATCTAAACTCAGTTAAAAATCCATTTCTGCTGGGCGTGGTGGCACATACCTGTAATCCCTGCACTCAGGAGTCTGAGGAAGGAGGACTGTTTTGAGTTCAAGCCAGCCTGGGCTACAAAGTGAGCTCAAGTTCAGCCTGAATTGCATAGTGAGACCCTGTCTCAGAAAGACAAAGAAAAAAAATCCATTTCTATGACACAGGGTGGTAACTTTATTTTCTGAAAGAATGAGATTATAAAATATCTCTAAAAATAATGCTTCAGAACACCAAAACTCCCAAAGCAGCAGAATCCGAATGTTCCTGGCATTGCTTCTATATCCTCTACTCTGTTCTCTTGTCTTCCTTTGTGCCAGTAACACGGTAGATATCTTCCTGAAAGAGGTAAATATGTCATTTCACATTCCTGCCTTCATTTATAGCAGAGAAACTCATAGCAGCTAGATGTTGGAAGTGACCTGAAGCCTATCAACAAATGAATGGATAAAGAGAATGTGCTAGTTATGCAATGCGGTTATACTCTGAGATAAAGAAGGATAAACTTGAGTCATTTTTTATGAAAACTGATGCACTTTGAGACCATAATGATAAGTGAAGTAAAGCAGACACAAAACTTAAATATTGCATAGTTTCTCCTATATGTGAAACCCCTGATACAAATTTTAAAAAGTAAAGTACAATATAGATGAAATGAAACAGAGAGCTAGATGTTTTAAATGGGATGAAAAAAGGTTTAAAATGCATTATGTACATGCACCAGCTCCCCATGAGGAATGCTGTTATTACATTACAAACATGTACTAATAAAAAAACTTAAAGCTAGCAAAACCCTGAAGAATTCATTATTCTTTAGAACAGGAGATCATATGCACATACAACAAGAAATGCAAAATTTGAAAAGTTTGACTCATCAGGTTGCTGTTCTTATTTGCCCACAGAGGAAATCAGCAGTAGCCATTCAAGCAAATACAAAACATGATTTTCAAAAAGTGATATTGATGTGGATCTGAATTACAAATGCATGTGCAAAGTGTATTTCACTTTCACTTTTTTGAGATTTCAGGAAATTCTTGCTGAGAAATCCTTGGGTTCATTTTCACATGCAAATGTCAAGAAGCAATAAAGCTATTTCTTCAGTTCTAATTTCACAGGGCATTTTTTAAATCTTTCACTGAAATCTTTACTATTATATTTCCGCAGTATATCTCAGTTATAGTTTTGTGATCATTTTTATTTTAAATTATGCAATGAAATCATACCTATGACCTGTGTGTGCTGCTAGCTGACACGTTAAGAAACCTTTATTGTGAAATAAATTTGTTTATTTTGGACATAGGGCAAGTGTTAAAAATTTAAATATAAACTCATTCAAAATATACTGAGGCAGGCACAATGTAAACATATTTATGACATAATACATCATTTGATTAGGAAAATCAACACACATATATAGCATATATATGATGCATAGGTTAAGTACATATATGTATGAAACTGTATTTATTACTTAACAGCATCTAAAGAGGTCCCCTCAAGAGGAGAAATTTGCTGTAGTTGCTCTTGGTGCATTTAGTCCTGAATGGCGATGGGATAGCCTCGGTAGATTGAAGGTTAAAGGTCATAGTACAAACAGTTGCTGAGTGATCAGTATGCTTACCTGCGGACCGGGCAGGAGTGTGGTTCAGAGTTTGACGGCCATAAGAGAAGGTAGAAGATTTCCTCGTGTCCTTTCTACAGATCTTCATGTCTTTGAGTGTATCATTCCACAATTTCCTTGACTTCTAGTTTCTCTGGAGAAATTTGGTGTTGTGTGTATTGCAAGTCTTTTACCTCTTGATGCACTAAGTAATTCTTTCATTTTTGATGGTTTGATGATATGCATAATAATTTCTCCTTGGGCTCTACTTGATCGAAGTTTTTTGTAAATCTGTACATGGATGTTGACTTCTATCTTTAAACAGTGACACCTCTTCATGAACTAAGTTTGTC